AGGAGCAATGGTATCCAGCTCCTCAGCTGAGGGCGGTATCGTGATAATAAACTGGGCATAACATTGGATGCCACAGATAAAGGCGAGGAGCAACTGAGCGGAAGATGCAACTATACAAGGATGACGTGTTCCTGGAATGCACTCACCAGCAAAAGTATGATGATGATTCTGTACGTTGTGTTATACTTATCAACTAGTAGTACGGCCATGAACTGTAGAGAGGATCTTCGAGCGGCGCGACGCCGTACATCCTGGGGAGGTATCGGGGCAGAAAACATCAATGAGAATCCTTACTCGAGGCGCTCGGGCCATCACAGCCACCGGTTGGTTGGTCCCCTCATCATCGATGACAACTTTAACAGTCTCCGAAGTCACCTCGTGTGCCACTGCGTCACCGTCATCATACGAGTCTGTGTCATTTCCTTCTTGTGCTGAAACTGCCGACTCGTATGACAACTTGAAATTCTCCTCCTGCTTGATTTTAACAAGTTCTGAGACAAGCTTCTGTAGGTGGTTCCTCACTCCCACAGACCGGGGTGAGCTCACCATCATCTTGTTGGAGGTCAATCGCCTGGGCATCATCGTCTTGTCCGACCGAACAATCATCGGCAACTCTCGTATCCGACTCTGTATGGTCGACATTTTGATATTCGGTGGCAGCTGATAAGTTTGCGTGAGTGCAAATCCTCGTCGGTACTTCGCAGAAAAGCCATGAAAACATGGAAGTGATGAGAACCTAACTCCTATGAAATTGAGATCAGCATGTCAGACTCTAACAAGTAGACACGCCTTGGCGTGAAACACGCACCAGTCGATACATCAGCTTTAAATAACTCCGCCCTGATTTTATCAATGATTCCATTGCCAGCCGACTCCCCTGCTAAGACGAATCACGAGTCGATCCAAGCTGCTAGAGCAATCGAGACGGCGACCCGCCGTGAGCTGCGCCGTCCTGGCCGCCCAGCTTGTACGAGGTACTCCAATGAACTCACTCCTCGCAATCTTCATCTTGCTATCGCTCATACACACGCGTATCGCGGTGTACACCAATGAGATCAGCTCAATGTACCCGAATCAACTAACCCGATTCGGCAGTACCAACATCATTTGCCCTTTACCAGCCATCGCGACTGATGAACCCATGATCAAAAGCACTGGCCTCATGTTGGATTAGCCACTTCGATAAGACCTTCACCTCAGTCAATCTATGAGCACCACCACGAAGTGATTCAGCGTGACGACCATCATTTGTTCACTGCGACGCACATGGCAGAATGAGTTGATTCCCAGCTCGGAGATAACGCAATAGGCTCTTAAGACGACAACGTGAACAACATGATTCAGAGAGTTCATGAACAGGGGTCCATCAGAATCCACAGTCTTCACAGTTGGACTCGCCAAAAGCAAATATCTGAGAGGGGAGACAGGTACGGACAGTCTGTTCGTACACAGTCTGTCCGGGACAGAGGAAGAGACAGTTAATGACTGAGACACACAATGGTATATTCTGTAGTCCAACGCCAACCTTCTCGAGCATACAACTAGGCATTCACTCTGGTAGTTTCACCGGAGTACTTCCCTACTTACAACTGACTCAATGGAAAACGGAATTTCATCCGAAGGTTCTTGCCCACAGGCTTCCATGATACAATGGTGAAAAGTAGTGGTCGCTTCCGCTCCATCCGGCAAGAGACCGAACATCCGGAGAAGTGCTGTGTTCTCTTCAATGCTCATTGTGCTACTGCCATCGATGTCCGCTACAGAATAAGTTTGGAAGGTGGTCGCGCAAACCGGTAGACATTCAGTAGAGGCGCCACCAGCGATCCATTTCTTGCAGTAACCATTGACCGTTTCTGACAAGCCCATGAGGGATGCGTCCACCTCACAAGAGCCATCATGTGCCAGGCCGCAGTCCACGATGCCAGCCGTCCATTCGGGGAATTCCGTACCGTAACAGATAGG